CAATAATAGGTGAAAACAGAATTTTGACAATCTCTAATAACTCAAGCAGCATTTTTGTGTATTCATTTTTTCCAACTGTGTCAATGTGAAATGGCAGGATCTTTAACAAGATCAGCATCTGCCCAGCAGACTGTTTCAGTTTATTTATCGTATTTACAGATATGGGGTATGGCTTATCCCTTGCATCCACAGGAGAATAAGGGAAACCAATTATTGCACTATTAAATGTGTCTAGATCCATAAGACCTGAAAGTACAAGATGCTTTAAAGCACATTTGATTTCATATGGAGCAACACCTTCGAGAATTACATGCATAATGTCTTGTGGCATTTGATTGATTAAATCAAAATGAGGAGATTCTGTAACTTTGCTTCTCCTGTTTATACCATATGTTGTTTTAAGATTTTCTTTGAGAAAGTCAGTGCTTGCCTTTTCAATGTCAGCACATTGCCTGATATGACTTGCCATGGTCCTTTTAACAAACAGCTCTTCATTAAATTGTCCCTGCATGTCTTCAAAGTTGCATTCACAGTGCCTGCATTTACTGTAGGCAAACCCCACGCCTTCTTTAAATCCAGCCACTTCGTGTTGAGCTGGAGTGTCGCCATACACAGCCATAAGCGCCCCATAAACTGTCATCGGACCATTTGCAGTGACAACCTCAACACCATTATACAGCTCAATAAGGTCTTGATGAATTCTCTCAAATATCTTATCTATACCACAACCTGAAAGGTTCTTGGTTTTAACCATAGCAAGCAGGCGAATGGCAGAAAGTCTTGATCTATATTTAAAGTGTATATTACCTAAGGTGTAATAAATCATCAATTTCATCTGTATATACAATTAACTGCAATGCTGTTGGAAATGTCAAAAACAGTGGTTGTGACTTAAAAATGTCCCCATCAATTAAGTCAAGAACAAAACCATTCTTGCATGGCTTTGGGCCCTCTTCAATCATTGCAAGAATTCTTGGATGGATCAGCAGCTGCTCTAAACTTTTTACCAACGAAATATAATAAAAGCCCTGGTTTTTAATGGCAAGTACTCTGGAGTCTCCACTTTTCACATAACATACCGAATGTTTTGTGGTGATAATCTCTGGTTCAACTGGTTTAAGCAGTTCTTTGATTGTCTTATTCTGCAAATGTGTTGTAGCAACTTGATTGAAAGGGTCAACAAACTGGTCAAATATACCCATTGCGTCACTCTTCAGTTGATCCAGATCCCCCGGATGTCTCTCAATCACATTACTTATTAGATGTTTTAGGTGCTCCAATAATGACGCCTGATATTGCTGTACTCCATTCACCATGTGGTTGACAGCTCTGTGGAGAGTGGAAAAACAAATCTCAACAAAATGGAATGGACATGCTTTTTAGGTAATGTGCGGAACATGCAACAGTTGGATTTTGGGTAGAATGGAATGTTAAACCTCTTTATAATTATCAATATGGAAATCTACCAAAATCAACCTATTGTTGTAAATCATATATTGTTCCATCTCTGGTTTAGATTTTGCAACGTCAACCAAACACTGTAGTATAACATTCCATTCAGCCCATTAATTTCAGCTGCTTCCACATACTTTAGGTAATTCTTTACATTTTAAAAGGCATGCTATGCAGGATGTGTAGTTTGTTGGCAGCCACACACTTTCTATTGGGTGACAAAGAATGATTGAGAAGGATTATTTGGTATTTGTATATCCATTTTTTTTGGTGGAAAATCCTGCATTGTGTGCCTTTTAAGCTTACTTCAGTTACACTTGTTACTGACATTGACATATCATTCATTGTGAGAAAAACTGTTTAAATTACCTGTGTTAGTCGATGGGTTTCTTGGAGAAGAAATGCAGTTGCTTGTTTGAAAAGGTCCATGTTCACATGACCCTCTCGACCTTCTTGAAACCCAACCTGAAACAGATACATATCTCTATTTATCTTAATATGTATAAAACATCTCTATTCCAACATGTTTAATATTTACATAGCTAACACTCATTCACTTTTTTTCATGAGCTGTGAAACAAGACTTCTGAGGGAACAATAATTTAATTTTCTAACTTTCTGCAGGTCATCATGAAAATGTTTTAATGGGGGACGAAAGATCGGTTTAAATAATATGATTTCTATACATATAAACATGGCCTGAACACACCGAATTATGACATACCATTTGAGGGATGATGGTTGAACCCTCTTGGATCACTGAAGAATGTTCCTGTGTCGCACAGACCATTTCAGCTGCAGAGATATTCGCAGTAGTTTGGTTGTTTGTGCCCATCATGTGTTTCCGGTTGGCTTTGGAGAGTCACGGTACGTCCACACAGCAGCTTTGAAAAAATCTTGAAAATCTTGGAGCTGGGCGTGTCTGAGAGCTTGGGGGATTTTTTGCGAGCAACGCGACCAACAACCAATCACATGAATCTCCCGCCCCCGGCATACAAAGCAAAAAAACCCGGGGATTTTATGCGAGCAATATATATATATAAACTCCCCAAACAGGCGAAAACCTACCAGTTTCACACACTGTCTCTGCCACCTCCCTCCATGCCTGGTTCCTCCGGTTTGTATCCCGGTAAATAGTTCTGGTCGTAAAGAACCGGGTGATTTGCTACCGTAATTTCTCGTTTGGAATATGAGGAAATGAACTGCGGTCTGGCTCTCCCAGCTTGCACGCGGTTTGATTGGCTACTATGGCTAGCGCTTGTACTGTCAGATTTGGTAGACGCTTCCAGCTCAGCTTCAAAAGTTGAACATTGCTCAACTTTTGAATCCTGAAAATCCTGAAAATCTTCGCTTTGCTTCCCCACAATGCAGTTCGGCGAAAAGCGAGGCAAAGTG